AGTATTAGCGTACTCCCAGTGCCAGTCCCAAGCCTGGATAAATAGGAGGGGAGCATTCAGAAGGGCATCCGGGGTAAAAAATGTGCCAAATCAAACATGTAGTTCTATCCGCTGCAGAGCCCCTTGGGTAAACAAGGAAGCAGCCAAAAGAGCCCAGCCATCATCATTATTATTATTGTCCTCTAAGTGTTGAGACTTGTGAGAATAATGTAAAAAAGAAAAAGGCATATTTTGTCATTTCACAGCCTTGAATGTCATGAACAATAATAGAGAAAAATAGCTTTAACAACCATAAGCAGCCAACGTTACTGTGAGATATCTCTGTAATGAAATCAGTAAATAAATAGTGGCTATATTTACACGGATCTTAGTTTTTAAATGGTTTAAAAGCCCAGATAAAGAAAAATGCTTCAAATAAAGAAACTCAAAAAAAATTAATGGAAAAATTAGTGGCACGTGGGAACACGAGCCGAAGTCATAACAAAGCTGTTGAGGAAGACAAACAGATGATGCATTTAACAGCTTTGATGTAAACAGCGCGCAGTATTAAAACCATATTTCACATGAACACCTGGCACCAAATCTTCCATCCAAATAAAAATAATAATGTGTGATTTAATAACCTCTTATTGTGTTTATTGGTTTCTCTTGTTTTATTGAATCATCCCTTTCAAGCAGAGCTTAGTTTGATCCTTTTTAGTCACTCATCACATTTATTTATATATACAGTAGAAATGCAGTTAAATGAAAACCAACAGGGATAAGAGAAAAAACGAGGTTTTGGGCTAAAAGCAGAACGAATGGATGACACTGGAGACACTTAAGCTGCTTTCAACATGCACTGCATCCCTGAACATTTCTAGACTTTACCCTTGTGTCTCTTTGGTAGAGGAGAAGCAATTTACATGCATCAACCAGGCAGGAGCAGTTCTCTTACTTACATGTTGGCCTCAAAAGGACGACTGTAAATATTCAGGTGAGGCAGCTGCCAGGGTAGAGCGTGCAAGAAGGCAGACTCTTGATGCCCCGTGGTTTACTGTGAATTTACTGCGTAATTACATGAGTTGTCTCACACATGCAGACTTTGTAAAAGTCTAGAAAAGCTCAGAGCTGAAGCACAAAGCTGTGGACAAAAAGCCTGGCCCAGAGTTCTTGTATAACTGCATAATGCTTAAACAATTATTGAAGCTGGTGGAAGAACAGAAAATTTGCTACTCCTACAATAATCAGGATGAGATATCAGTCTGAAAACAACACTTTTATCTTTCCAAATGCCAGAATTCGGCTGCTTTCATTGTTTTAAATCAGCGTAAAGGATATTTTGAAGTTTGCAGGACAAAATAACAAACTCAAGATGATGAGCTGGAGTCTGGAAAATTATACACTACAGTAAAGGCTGGTGACGATGACAACGAGTTATATGTGGTGCACAGGAGTGACTCATATTTAAACGTTAATAACACGTTGCTACATTTACAGAAAAGGCAGAAAGAGATAAAAAAGGATAACGATGAAAAATTGTTTGTGCCATAGTGTAAAGAAATGACACTGATGGAGAAAAAGCTGTTAGTTATTCATTTTGTTCACATTAGTCTGTTTGGAAACCAACTCTGGGTTTTGTTTAAGGACGTCCATCTAAAAATAAATTGTATGTAATCAATTTGAAAAAGAAAAAATGAAACAAAATTGTAAAAACATATTTACACACATGCACTGAGGAGGTACTGTGCAAAGGCTCGGCCACATTTCTTTTCCTGTGTGTGAGCGAGAGCGCCCTCCCCCAGCTGCGCTGAACATCTTGCCATTGGCCACAGTCCAGTACCAGGCTGTGCTGATTGGTTGGCTCCAACTCTAATCACTTACAATTGGCCCATTATCTACTGCATGCCACACCTCCCGTACGCACACACACACACCTCCACCCAGCTTTGGGACACAGTGGAAGAGTGGACACACTGAGAGGAAGGTGATGCAAGGTTTGTGATGTATTTTTGGCCCCATATCACAGACTTCCTGTGTGTAATTTTCTGTGTGTGTCTATGTATGTGTGTGCAGGTTTGTGTGATGACAGCGGCTATTCTGTAGTGTGTTTAAGGTCTGAAGAGATAACTCTGTGCCAAGCTAATAAGGGTGAAACACCCCCCCCCCACCCCACCCCCTTCCTCTGTGTACTTAACAGTATGAAGGCTTGGTTGTGTGTGAATGTAAGAATTTGTTTATTTTTCTGTGAAAGGGTTGTTGTTTAGTAAGTAAGATGTTTGCAGAGACGTGGGGATTACTGCTTCGATGAATTCTGCCCAGAAGGGTTTTTACATGTTGCTGCTGGTTTTATAGAAAAAAGTCTGAGTATCAGCTCTCATCGTATGACAAATACAGCATCTAAAACATCCTTATGAACCATAAATAGGGAGCCGATTAGAGAGCGAGTCTTTAAACGTAAGTGTTGAGAGGGCTGTGCACTCCTCAGCGCATATGAGCAGTGAAGTATGTGAGGTATTAAGAGCCAAAACCACTGTGAGTCCCAAAAATTAATATTAATAAGCTTAGATAGGACACTTCATGCAAAAGTTGCAAAACCCCTGTTTTACTGTAGCTAAAACATTAAACACAATCTATAACAAAATAACTTAAATAAAGTAGAAAAGCTGAATGAAGTGAATACAATATAACAAATGACACAAAGGAGCCTAATAGGTAAAAATCTAAACAAAATCCAATAGATCACCATTAATAACACGGTTAAAATACAGTAATCTTGTATAAAAAACAAACAATTTTACAGGTATCTCAGTGAAAAACTAAAAACTTAGTACACTTTGTCTCAACAGCTTGCATAATTGAAAGTATTTATTTACTGTATGGCTTTATCAGTCTCTCACACTGATGTGGAGGAACTTTGTCTCACTCTTCTTCACATTATTGCTTAAATAAATTCATTGAGGTTTGCAGGTATTTGTTAATGCACGGCTCTTTTGTGGTTCCACCACAGCATTTCAATCGGGTTGCAACCTTGATTATTTTCTTTTTTTAACCATTCTGTTGTAGCTTTGCGTCTGTGTTTGGGATAACTGACCTGTTGCATGATCCAATTTGGGCCGAGCTTTAGCTGTCGGACTGACAACCTCACATTTGGCTCGAGAACACTTTGGCATTCAGAGGAGTTCACGGTTGACTCTCTGACTGCAAAGTGTCCAGGTCCTGTGGCTGCAAAACAAGCCCAAATCATCACCCGTCCACCACCGTGCTTGACGGCTGGTATAAGGTGTTTGTGCTAATATGTTCTGTTTGTTCTTTTCCAAACATGCTGCCATGTTCTTTTTAGAGAACAGGCTTTCTTCTCCTATATCTTTTTTGGCAGCTTACAGAGTTTTAAATCATCCAGTGCCCAATTATTATTTCTACATCCACTTAAAAGCACTTGGGTCCGAGAGATGTAAACGGTGACAGCGAGGGTCTCTGCAGATGTCCGCAGAGGATTTACATAACAATGCACCAACTACCCATGCGCCCCAGGCGGCAGACTTCAAGAAGTATAACAGGAATGACTGCTCGGCCGTTGCGCCTCGAGCTGTCTGTGCTTGTATATGATCAAGGTATAACATGATCGGTGTCCCAGCCAC